AATATTGTAGCTCTTAGGTTTTGCATTTCCCCTGGCATTGCTCTTGACCTGTGGGTGCATTTTCTGGGAAGACGTGTCTTAAATGTTTTAACTTTTGAAAAGTATTTCGTACTGAGTAAAAAAGACTTTGAGGTTTTGGAATCTTCCCAGGTTGAACAGTATAACACTATTTTCTCAAAGATATATCTACTATACTATGCTAAACCTATCTAAAACCGGAGCTCTGTATTCATCACATTTCGTATTCACTTGAAGTGGTGCGATATTGCTGATACAAATTCTTGGAAGGGTGGTTTGTCACTAGATGTCACTACACCATACGTACTTCATTTTTAAACCTGTGTTCTATTTGGCAGTGAGTGGGGGACAATGTGTTATATTTGTCTGATTGTATAGAAGTGCGTGTGAATTTATTGTGTTGAGTCTATAACAAGGATGACCATTATAATTGGATAACTGTGTAGTCCTTTTTGCAGCTGGCATTTTTACGTGAGCAATAGCACAGTAATAAAGCCCCAGTAATATAAATAACAAGAATGTTTCATCTAGGTTTGCAGGTCCAGTGATCTGCTGCTTATGTGCATTCTCCAGTTTTAAAGTCAAATAACCGTAAAATCTGTGCTGTTATTCAACATTGTTAATCCTTACTGTGCACTCATTTTCATTCTATTTGTATTTCTCAGAATAGATATCTTCACATCAACAGAAAGATTTCTTATTGTAAGTTAATAAAAAGGTGCTGAATGCCTCCAAACTTATCTGAAAAAGGTTTGAATAAATAAACATGTTTGCTTGAATTAATTCTATTTTGTGTCAGTTGTTTATGTCTTTGTTGGGAAAATAAATGCTCTTTGTGCTTTGTGGTTGAAGATCTTAAGAAAGAAAGTAGTATACATATTCTCAGACACACACATGGACACACAAGAAGGCTCAGCAGAGAGCCAGGCTGATTGGATGGTGGACGACTGGAGTTGTTATTATGGAGCATCCAGCAGAGTCTGGTTTGCAGGATAAGGATGTCCTTACAGGGCATTTCTCAGTGTGAACGATGAGGAAACAGCCCTGTGAGCATGTGTCTGTGCCTGTGTGTGTGTGTGTGTGTATAAATGAGAGAGAAAGAGAGAGAGAAAGAGATAGCGTGGTTACATTTGAAAGAATAGACTGAATGTGGACAGATGCATCTGTCTGCTTACATAGTTTGGCCTTCAAAAAGAAATCTTGGCAACGTTTGCAAAAAGTGACTTTCCCAGTTGCACGAGTGGGTGCCAAGGGTTTGCTTGCAGAGAGAGAAACTGGAGAGCAAGAGAGGAACTCACTCGGCTTTGCATTCTGTTGCAGGAAAGCCTCCAATAAACTATTTCCGAAAACATGTCTACTTGCTTTGTGCCTATGAAAATGAGTAAGTGGAAGGTCAGACATGGATGTGTGTGCAAAAACAGAACGAACACAAGAGATTTGTGAGCCTCTAGAGCGTTTTTAATGGGTTCTCTGTTTTGCCTTCCTATAAAAGTGTCTGTAAGCAGGCAAATGTATTTTGAATGTTTAAGCTGCCATCTTAGTCATCAAATCCACACTGCTTCAACAAATATCCAGGGATCAACTGGTTCACATGGAGATGAGAAGGCCCTCAGACACCTTTGGATCAAAAAGTCCAAACAGGGATAACACGCTGTATTCAGTGTTTGCAATCAAGGGATCAGCTATTGTGACTGGGAAACAAAATGTACCCGGCAGTTATCTCACAGGAGTTAGCGACAGGCAAAAACTGGCACAACTAATATGGCCTGTCAGCCTGAAAATAGGCTGGTCCTGTTCCCACCTTCCATAAAGGTACGGCAGTAAGACTTTTGTGTTGTTCATCTCTCAGATGCCAAGCTCTAATAGTTTTTTGGGCTCACATTGTTTTGGTTATAGGGATTTAATGTTGTTTTTTCACAACCAAGGAAGTCAAGTGATAGCAGAGCTATTTCTTTTGCAAAAAATTCAGCATGAATCCCATTTCTAACATAATAAATAAGATGCATGTGTGTCTTTATATGTAATGGTGTTTGACGCATGAATTTGGGAATGATCATAAAGCTTTGTAAAGGATTGTCAAAAATAACTCAAGGTACATTGGCTGTGTCTTTTACAGCTGAAGTCTTTTCACGTGTCGCCAAGAAATCATCTGTACCAAAATGAACTGGACAGGAAAACAGAAATGCTAAACAAATTGTCTTTAAATGGAAGCTTTAATAGCAAGGGGGTTTAAAAGAACTGAGGACATGTGCAGCTATATTAGTTCAGAATTGTTGCAGGTATTAACTAAAAGGACATTTTGATAGGCTTTAATTCAGCTGTTTTTCGTGTAATCTTTGGTATCCATTACATAAGAGTTGAAGGACTGCAATTTTATGGCTAATTTAAAACATCCCACACAGTGGTAAACATTGCTCCCCTCTTTTCAACAAGTAAAAAAAACATTATTTCAGCATATTTGCATTTCTATCCGGGTTTCTCTGTTGTTCAAATCCTTGGAAGGGTTGCAGAATACAAATACTTGTTACTAAGGTACTAAGTATTTACAGTAAGCCCTGTGAAAAATCCATCCTCCCGAAAAATTTTGACATCTAAGCCTCTGTAAAGCCACAAAAAACATCTGGATGTGGAGAGGTAGATAAAGTGTCAGTGTGGAAACAAAAAGAAGGAGGTGTTTTCATTCTTGCCCTCGATGTTGTGGAGGGGATGAAATGAAACGGGTCTTGAGGTGGGTGGGGTCACTCTTCTCCTCTTGTTTCCTCTACTCTACTCTCCTCTTGTCTCCTCAACTCTCCCCTCCTCCATTAATCATGCCTGTGCACGTTAAAAAGAGCTTAACCATTTATCCTGTGCAGTCCTATCCTACTTCCACTCAAGGACACCTTGCAAGCAGTTTCCCCCCTGAGCATATTTTCCTCTCTGTATCTAACTAATGGACACCTTTCAGTCTTGATCCAGTTTGATGTAGAAAGGAAAACTAACTAAATGGGGCTTCATCCTCTTTTGTCAAGGCTGTCACTCAACGTCGGATAACAATTAGTACTTCTACATACCCTTCAGTTGAATGCTTAATGGGGAAAAATGAAATTTAAGGACTTATCCGCACCCTTTGAGACTAACAGTATTTTACTGACAGCTCCAGTACGATGGGTTTTATAATGTATGTGCTCATAAAGTAAGGAAGGATGGAGGGGAAGAGTGAAAGGAACGAAGGGATGATGAAGGCACAGATGAAGAGAAAAGGAGAAGTAGGTAGGGAATAAGTAACGAGTAGAGATGACGGAAAAGAGAAAATGAGCTTGGTTTCCTTTGTGGCACAGTGCTCCACCACTTAATCATCCCTGGTCTATAAATAGGCCTTCACAGCCATGGAATATTGGGAGATTAATGGAAGAGAATAGACCGCCATAATGCTCCAAAGCTTCAACACTTCTGTTGCTCTTTAGTTTTGCAGATTTCATTATATTTCACCACCAGTGGTAGAGTTTCCCCCCGCCCATTTTTCTCATGGAAAGTGGAGAGAGAAACTTAGCAGATTGCCTTCACTCACCCACCCTTATCTGTCTCCTCATATTTGGACTTTTTCTTCTCAGTCTTACTGGAAGACAGGCATGCTTACTTGAAGCTAAATGGCACCAAATGCAGAACAGTTGATGCAATGCAAGCGAGCAAGTGCTGGCAAACTACCCACAGAACACACTCCAAGAACAGAAAATGGAAAAGTTCTTTCTCCTCATTTCAAATTCTTTCCAATACACTAAGGAAAATCTGCCAAGGACCTATCACTGAAGCCCATCTCCCGAGGAAATGTTGAAGGTGTTGAGGCAGCAGAAGTCATCTCGTATCCCTGCAGTGTGTGTACACTTGTGTGCTTGTGTGTGTGCATTTCAATTTGCAGGCTCATATGTGGATGTAGACCTGCATTAGGCGCAATTTTAAGGTAGTATGGCAGAAATGTTATTAAGGTTAAAAAAAAAAGAGAGTGTGTTTACGAGGACACTGATCGTGGCCTGAAAGTATTATTTTGCAAATGAAAGAGAAAGTTATTCAAGCAAGAGGAGACAGCACAGTCCCAATTAGAGAGCTCCTGTTATACCTGTGCTAGATGGACTTGGCAAGTATTTTGATATTCGATTCTGATTCGTTGACATGTTATTTTTCACATTTCTGTCAAACACCAGTACTGTACAGCACTTCTCTGTTCAGTGAGTCAAATCTCACCATCTGCTGAAAAAAAAACCTATCTTGAGATTCTTCACATAAAAAATGTGCTGAATTTGAGCCAGAGAGCTCATTTAGTAAAGTTGGTGACAAACAGGCATCGGATCTGCTTTAACAGTTTAATTGCTTTTGATTTGTTGTCCCATCAATCACAGAAAGTCAAGATACATTGAAGAAGTCCCTTATTTGACTAAAAATTGTAATAATAATTTTCCCTTATTCCATACAACCAGTTACATGAATTAAGTGAAAAGGTCAAACTCATAGCAGAGATACAGAGGGAGTGTAACTCAGCCAGTAACCCTGGGAACTATATAATGATGTGGTATCTTATACAAAGAGGACATCCCCTTGCACATTTCACAATTGTATAAATGTATATTGCTGGGTCAGCTAAACAGCAGCCTGTCAGACTTTATGAACTGACACAGCTTTTTTGTTGAAGAAGGAAAGTTGACCCAGAGCTGCATATTCCTTGGAAATGACTCAAGATGATTTACCATGAATTGCAGGGAAAGAGAATAAAAACTCAACCCATCCAGTTGCCTAATTTCTTTCTCTAGTATTGCATATGATGGTGTATTTTCACTTTGTTGAGGCTTAAACTGACACTAGACTTTGCAGGTACAATGCGTTTACAGTGACATCAGAACGATAATGTTTTTGCATTGGGCACTACAACTTGAATTATTTTAGAAAAGAAACACCACAGAAAATCTAAAGTTTTCCTCCCTCCCTTGTCATTTTTGTAGAGTCATGGCTCAGTGATTACATGGGCATCCAAACCGAACCTTGTAGTCCCTGCAGATGTTGCGTTGTTGGTCCACTTTCCGGCAAACAAATCCACTGGTTGGATTGTATCTGAAAAAGGAAGACAAAAAGGTACTCAGTAAGTAAATGAAAGCTTTATAGTGATTCTTGAGAGTTATAAATACTTTTTAAAGTGCATGTTGAGATCTTGCATAATCATCTAAAACTTGCCTTAACATAAAATGAAAAAAAATCTACATTAAATACCCAAAATTCAAGGATTAACCAAGAGCTAGTTGCTATATATCAAAAAGTCCTGTTTCAAACTTAATGGGGTCCTAACAGAGGTACAACCAATGCCTTACAACTCAGTTTCTGAGCTCTAATTGTCAGGAGAGAGTGGAAAGTGTTTGCAAATTGGCAACAATCAGTAACCATCTTTTTCCTGACTTTGAAAAGATCTGCAGGTGATACACATGTACCCAAGCAAAACAGGCCATGGCTCCAGGTAATCTTAGTGGTAGAAGCTTTTTATAAATCTACATTTCTTCATTAACTTGCCTCATGGTTCTCATCAATTCCACGTACACTATTCACTGTAAAAGCATAAGCTCTAGGCAGCACATCTTGACAATTTGGAAAAGAGAAGCACTGACTTGAATCAAAAGATCAAAAGATAAAATGACAATCTGAACATTCGTTTGAACTATCATATCAAAAGCCTCACTTGCTAAAATTTCAGCTCTGTGAAGTCTAGAATATTAAAGGTTCATGATATACGATGGCAAATCAAACAAATCGGTTATCATAAAAACAACAACGAAACATAACTTAAGAAAGCTTAAGATATATGCACTGCTGAAATAACAAAACAGTAACAACCTTAGAAATACCACATGCTCTAGGAAAGGCTGCTAATATTCAAACAATCTATTTCACAAATGCTGTTACACAACAAGATCATACACAATTAAGGAAAAAAAACTTGATATACATCCTGGTACCACAGATAAAATAAAGACTGCTATATCACAAATGAAAAGTTTGAAGTCTCTATCTTGGTATATTTTCACAGTGGTATACTTCAGACAGAATGAAAAGTCAGTTCTACACAGGCTCCCGAGATGGTTTACCCAGGCGATTTTGAAAATGAAATAAAAAAGCCTGCAACTGAAAGTGTAATGTTTTTGGCTTTTGAATCCTTTCCCTGTCTTAGCTTGAGTTTAAACAGTAGTCTCTTGTTTTTAAATGTTGTTTTATGAAACTTCTCCTTCAAGGTAACTTACATGTGGAAGTTCTCTCCTGTGTAGATGGCTGGGGTCATCGTGTCAGTGGTAACAACCTCAATATAGTGAGGTTTCTCACAGATCTCTCCAGGATTTTCATCTCTCAAGTTTCCCAAAGTCTCCCAGTCCCCGGACCCGCTGGGATGGTCTCGATCATACCACTTGGTCCAACAAACTAAAGTGAGGAAAGTAAATGAACAGGATGACGGATCTATCAAGATACTTTGTAGATAATGATAGGAAACTTAAAGCTTTGTAAACTGTGCTTGTAGTACCTAATTCAGCACAGTACGGAGGGGGGCAGCTGAAGCGAACTTTATAATCATTGCATCGCCCATTTGGTTGGTTCCTCCTTCTGCAGGTGAATCCCGAATTTGTACTACTCCTGAAAAATTTAATCAAAATGGAATGAAGTTATCCTGAAGGATGAAAACATTTTTAGCTATATCTATGACTTCATTAAGAAAGAGCAAAGAAAGACTGATGACGCCATGACGTTTTTTAGAATTATTCAGATATGTACTTGACTTACTTTTCAATCACATCACCTGCTGCCTCTGGAGTAAGTCCAAACAGAGTTCTGGCCTCAATGTCTATTGGATTTGGGCAGATCTTTCCAGGGTATTTTCTTGCAATTCTAGCAAAATTTTCCGTGGATCCAGATCCAGAGGGCTCGCTGCTGTCAAACCATTCTGTCCAGCAATCTGGATGCAATCAAGCAATTATACTGAAAAGGTTTTACATAGACAACACCCAAAAGCTTTTTGTAACTTTTCTATGTTCTTACTTATACAGGTTTATACCAAAATAGATTAATAAATTACTTACAAATGGGGGAAGAAGAGTAACATGGCAATCCTAAATTGAGTCCTGAAAGAAGGAAGAAAGGATAGATTCCACCTTTATTGTACAAAATGAAAAACTGAATATTTTTTCTTCATTTATGGTTAAACAGAACACAATTTTAACACCTCAGCCTTGTAAATAAAGTATGAAATATAAAAATCCAGAGCTGACTAAAATATTGTGTTGCTAAAACTATACTGAAAAGTCTTACCGTTGGAATCGTCTGGTTCCACTAAGGCTGGAAAAAGTCGAAATTTAAATCAGAAACTGTGTACGGCTCCGACAATAGAACTATTAATTTTGAAATTTACTATGCATAAACCTACCAAAAAACATCACAGCTACGATGGCTAGGCTCACCTGTGAGGACAATTAAATATCAATTTAAATGATGACATTTGAGAATTCATGAATAGACTAGATTCTTAAATTCATGTTGTATTTTGAAATTAAAAAGCAAAGAAATGTCAAAAGTACCAGTTTCATCATGATTGGGATTACAATGACCTCTTAAAAGGCTTCAATGTCTGCTAAAAAAGTTTTTCAAAAGAAACAAGTGAAAATCAAAAACAGAAAATATTTCAATAACACTTTCTTTATTTTTTGAAAGAGAGACTTACCTATAGCCTCCACCTCGGTAGAACAGTATGGTTGTTGGAGCATCTGCCTTTTTATAGTAACCCCAACATCATCTCACCCATCCCTCCTCTCAATTTACAAAAGCATGCAAGAAAAGAGTTTCTCACATTCCACCCAGTTGAAAGACAATGGTTGAGGACAAAGTTCAAATATCTTACAAAGAGCAACTTGTCCAGGTGGTGTTTCCCTTCGAACAATGGAAATGTGAAATCACCTTTAATTGCGATGTTAAACAGGTTACATGACCCTATACAGACACACATACAAACACACACACACAGACACAAACACACACATATATGTATATATATATATATATGGAATTGCACATTTTCCTATATTTAGTTGTGTATGGTTTCATTCTTTGATTCATTTCCATCAAAGTTTTATGATTACCATTAAAGTTTCAGGTTCTGTAAGGGAACATAAGGAAATCTGAAAAACAAACAAAAACAAATGTTCCCTCATTTAATTTAAAGTAAAACCATCAAAATATTACAAATTTTCAAAGTACTCAAAAACTACTATTATGCTTGACTGTTTCTCAGCCATTCATCGTTCTCCTTTAACATGCTTCTATGCCGTATCTGTTTGCATGTGATGATGTCCATTCTCATGGATCTTTTCTGTTTATTCACCACAAATAAAATCATGAGAAACGACTGAACAGCGACACCTGGCAATTCTTGTTTTCAATTTTGTGAGAGAGATTGCTGGTTTGATATTTTATAACACAGTATGTTAAACAGTGGGTACTCTTTGGCTTAATACCAGTAATTCTCCATTCTTTCATTTTTTATACTACTTATTCATACGAGGGTCGTAGGTGGATATGGCCTATTTGTTTCTAAATAAAAAAAAAGGATAGGTACACAGTTGGTAAAATTCTAATAGTCGTTTTCACACTGATTTCATTTTCCTACTTATGTGTTGTGATCTCTGGACAGAATATATAATCATGTAAGATGGTGAATAGAGAGGGAACAAATCTACTTTGTTTTGGTGAGATTGGGCTGTGAATGATCGATCTCCATGTGGAAAGAAAGAACGTTTCATTTACTTGTTTAACATCTTATTTAAAATCAAACACACAATTCAGAGTAAAGCGTTCTCGTTTTTTTTAATCAATAGGTATATTTCACTTTATCTAATCCTTTTAGATATAGCATCTTAGTGATTTATGGTTTAAAAGAGACCCCATAACATAGTAATAGAACACGGACAAGCGTTTTAAGCAGAATATATTCTTTGATTAATTTTTCAGCATACAGATGTAACTTGCATGTCAAGAAATGTCAGGTAAAGTTAGTGCCAGAAATAGTAACATGGGCATGCAAAGCGAACTTTGTAGTTTCTGCATGTTCCCTCCCCTTGGTCTGCATTGAGGCAAAGAAACCCCCTTGTCGGATTGAACCTGAAAAACAAAAATTGGAGGTGAATTAGTGCAAGAAGTGGTGCTAGAGTTAGAACAAAGTATTTAGAAATTAATTTATAATGAGAAAGGCATTTAAGCTTAGATTACAATGGGCTAATTAGCATCGAGATGATCTGTAGCCATTTAAAAGTGGGCACCTTTGTTTTTTTGGATATGATACAAACTGTCTTATAGGAAAAAGCAGCTTTCTGTCTGAAAGAGTGTTTTTCTATGCAGACTGATTTAAAACTGCATAGTACTGAAGCATAGTACTAGTACGAGTACTGAAGCAAAATGTGTTTGGTTGCTAGCAGGTACGAATTAAGTTAAAAGACCAGGTCAGCTATCTGCCATCTGCCTTCGATTAATACAACAGTAGATACCCACACCTCTTAGATTAATTTGACCCAAGCATTTCTTCATGTCACATTTTCAAATGTCACAGTACAACAGTTTCTAAAAGTGGAACGCTTTTTAGTTTTTTTTTTCTTTTCAGACTTACTCTTTGAATATATCTCCTGTTGTCAAGGCCTGCTCTTTAGTATCTGTAGTAACAGCCTGAATGTACACAGGCGTGTCACAAATTTTTCCAGGATTTTCTCTCTTTAGTTTGTACAAAAGCTCATTGTCTCCAGCATTTGAGGGACTATCTCGGTTGAAGAATTTAGTCCAGCGCACTGCAAAGTCAGAAAAAGAAAGGATAAAAACTTAGCCAAAGCAGCATTTTAAAAGAAGTCTTACTAACAAATAGGCGAACAATGGAAATATTTATATTTTTATGTCTTCTTTTAATAACGTACATTTTTCCCTACAGCAGGAAGTTGGGGGGCAACTAAAGCGAACTTTATAATCTTCGCATTGCCCGTCATGTTGATCGATATTCCTGCAGATGAATCCTTCCTTTGGGCCTAGTCTGGAAAAAAATCATACACTGAGAAATGCAACCACTTAAACCATAAATTCCATAGAACATCGGTTGCATTGGTCTTGGTAATGTCCCGCAGTGAATATTTTCTCTTATGTAGGTTTATCATTGACCGAGAAGTACTTCAGTTTAATGTAAAAACCATGTGGTTGAGTGTTTGGAGTGTAACGTAAAATCTCAAATTCTATTTTTATAAAGCTGTGAAATACATTTAGAACAATCTATCAATTTTGGTTCTCATTTGTTTCCTGGAAGCTACTTACTTCTACACTCTCCTTCCCATTTTCCCCTGAACCTGTGATCCTTTCAAATCCCCGTACACACAGCTCTGGACGAGCACCCTTGTATCCAAAAAATCCTGAGTGTAGTTCTTACACATGAATGACCTCGCCTGTTTGTTCCAGTGTCCTCCCAGAAAGAGTTCGGACCTCAATGTCTGCAGGGTGGTCACAAATCTTTCCGGGATAGTCATTTCGAAGATTGTGAAAGCCTTCATTGTCTTCGTGTCCACTGGGGTCATCCCTGTCAAACCACCGAGTCCATCCCACTGTAATCGAGCATTCAAAAGAAATCATAATCATTTTGACATGAGTTTTGTAAAAATTGTATAGTGGAATTTGACCAAAAAGATACAAAAACAATAAATGAATTAATAAAATGCTGTAAGACAGATACAATCTAGATTTCAAAAAGTTACAACACAATCATAAAACAGAATAAAATGCAAATGCAAAAGTCACAAAAGGTTTAATCAGCTTACTGATGGTTCCGAGATTCTTGCAAGGTGATATGAATCCGTCTAAACAAAGGAAAAAAATATTTTAATTGTTAGAACTAAGATATCCTGGACCCATTACTGGGCATTTTGTTTAGATTATGATGTTTAAGAAAATTTACAATGCCTTACTAGTCTGTGTTGTTTCCAAGGAACCTGGTAAATTTGATAATTTATTATTAGTTGAGTAATAATATGCCTCTCCACTAGATTTGAATTAAAGTTCTTGTAAAAAGACATTGAGATTAACTTACCAACAAATGCTGCTGCAATAATGAAAAGACTCAGCTATAATAGAAAATGGATTAAAGTAATGAATGTATAGTGCACCATCTAATGATCATATTTAATGAAAAGGCTGATATTATATTCAAAGTACATTAAAATACATTACCAGTTTAATCATGATTGAAGAGAACAGATGTAAGGTTTCAATAGCTGAAAAATATAAATGAACAGATACAACCATGAATAATATTTCTCCATACCTCTAAATATTATCTCTGTTCTCTTTTGATGCAAAACATATAAAAGCTTATCAAGAATAGTTATATAAAAAAAAATATTTGATTGCCTCTGGAAGATAAAACTAAAAGACGACAAACTAAATTCCCTACAACAGAGTTCAAAATCTTTCATATTGGGCAAAACCAGAGCAAACTCACCAAAAGATCCTTCAGTCAAAGTTAGAATGTGAGCCATGAATGTGCGCACTTTTATAGTGTTACACTATCTTTCTGTGGCTCCACATACACCCCTTTAAAAGAGTTGATAAGGAAAAGAAGATAAGGTTCTCAGCTTCAGCATTGTTCTTTCAAGATGCTTTCTGTTGCTCTTTTCTCAACTCAATCATACTAATGTCTATTAAATGGGTTATGATCTGACCTCGTTGTGGCTTGATGACAAGATTATAAGTAAATAAGTTTAAAATAGTGCTATGTCAAGATTTGTGCTTTTTTACACATATCTCTCATTGTCATTGTATCAAGAACTTAAACTTCAACTGATTATCGTTCTTAGATACTCTTATTCACTATCTCAAAACCATTTTTCTTTTGTTCGTGTCTTTCGGCCAGAACATTGTAATACAGTAGGAGCATTCCAAGTTGTTTCAGTTGTTTTACACAGTGGGCAGAAAACCACTGAAAAACATCCCCTTTTTGAGTGTTTAAACTCAACCATCAGCACTATATTCCTAAAGGTTTAGTTTCACTAAATTGCAACAGCAAAATTGTTATCAAATAAGGGCAAATGTAATGTTTACTTTAAATAATGACAGTGTACTGGTACTGTCCCTTCTGTTTCAAAGATAAGAATCTGTTCCACCACAAAACTTGGATTGTATCAAGCTAACAAGTGCAGAATGTTGTTTTAAACTAAACAGACTGAGATGGGAACAGTTTGTAATATGTGGTCATGAAGCTTTAGCAAGAGCTCAAAAACTTTTCTAATTTATTTGGCAAAAAAAAAAGATGACATTATGCTGTTGCTAATTACTGATGATAAAATCATTGAGACAGAGATTCTAAACCAATTTGTGATTTCTTTATTTAATAACGCCATCTGTCATATTAATAAAAACAGCCAATAATTCACTCCTGGTTGTTGTGCATTTCTGTCCGTTTATGGGACTGCAGCAGTTCACACTTTTAAAATGTTACCAGGTCTAACCTCGCAAAATTTCTTTAAAGGCCTCCTTAGGGCCTTTATACTCCTCATACCAGCATATTAACAAATGTCAAAATCTCTATCATTAAAAAAAAGAAGAATACTGCATATATTACAGAAAAACAGCTCCTACTCTTCTCCCACCTGCATTTGTATATGCTATCATATAAGTGAGCAGGCTGGGTTGTTTTGAAATAACTGGTAAAATTGAAAAACAGGATCCTCACAGCCTATTTTTGACA